TAAACTCCTCCTGCCGCCGCAGGGTCAGCTGAGGATCCTTGGCCTTCTGACTCACCCTGAAGGGCAGGAGGATACGCGAGAGTTCATCATCGTAGGTGGTGATGCACTGCCGAAGGGTGAGTGAAGGGAGGAGGAGGGAGGAGGGAGGAGGAGGAGGAGGAGGAGGAGGAGGAGGAGGAGGAGGAGGAGGAGGAGGAGGAGGAGGGGGGAGGAGGAGGAGGAGGAGGAGGAGGAGGAGGAGGAGGCCGAAGGAGGAAGAAAGAAAGTTGAGGAGGTAGAGGGGAGAAAATGTGGAAAAGCTTCTGAAGAAGGACATAGGAGTGTTGAAGGGAGAGCAGAGCAGAGCAGAGCAGAGCAGAGCAGAGCAGAGCAGAGCAGAGCAGAGCAGAGCAGGGGAAAGGAGAGAGGAACAGTACCTCATCTGCTTCATCCACGACGACGAAACGAGCGTTTTCGAAAGGAATGTGACCCCTAAGCTATGTGACTATTTGTAGCACGAGATGAAACAAAACATGAAGAGGGAAAGAGAGAAGGAGGAAGGCGGAAGATTGAGGAGGAGGACCAAGAAGAGGAGAGGGAGGAAAAGAGGAGAGGGAGGAAAAGAGGATCATAAAGTCATGCAAACCTGTCAACAAGAGGCTGAAGGAAGGTTGGCGTTGCTACAATGATGTGAGCTCCCTGCCAAGAGAGTGAAAACATGAAGATCCTCTTTGTTTCATTTCCATCATAATCATCATCTCCATCATCTCCATCTCCATCATCTCCATCTCCATCTCTATCATCATCATCATCATCATCATCATCATCATCATCATCATCATCATCATCATCATCATCATCATCATCATCATCATCATCATCATCATCATCATCATCATCATCATCATCATCATCATCATCATCATCATCATCATCATCATCACTTTGAGGATGTTCAGCCCGAAGTCTTCGATCGGCATCGACGCATTCAGCGTCTGATCGTCCCACACCCCCATCACCTATAGAGATGAAGAGAAAACAGTGAGATAATGTGGGGACAAGGGGGACGAGAACATTGAAGAGGGCGAGGGCGAGGGCGAGGACGAGGACGAGGACGAGGACGAGGACGAGGACGAGAACGAGGACGAGAACGAGGACGAGGACGAGGACGAGGACGAGAAAGACGGGGACGAGAAGGACGAGGGTCTGACTTTTGCTCTTCTGGGTCCTGTATATTTGAACATGTTGAGTCGATTTCCAGGCATCACCTGCCAAATGTTACATCTCCTCGCTCCTCCCCCCTCGCCTCCTCCCTCCTCCCTCCTCCCTCCCTTTCCTTGACTTCCTCCTCGCCTCCTCCGTCTTGCTCCTGGCCTCCTGCTCGTCCTCCTCCTCCAACTCAACTGCAAGCTCCTTCTGTCCATCATCGTTTCGTGGCAGACCTGAGGGAGGAGGCTGTTGGGCTGAAGGGTCGGGTTGCGCCTGCTGCCCCCGAGGAGTTGATAGCAGAGCATTGAAACTTGGACGCCGAGCTCACGGGTGGGAACGACAATGACGGCAAGAGGAGCAGGAGCGATTTCGTCCTCAAGGACCTGAGGAGAGAAGAGGGAGAAGGAGGGGAGGAAGAGGAGTGAGGAAAAGAAACAAGAACAGCAGAACAAGGGAGAGAGTCAAGCAAGAGCGAGAACAGACGGCCGTGACGGGAGGAGAAGGGCGGGAGGAGGAGGAGAGACAAACAAAGAGGAGAACAAGCGAGGGGAAGGAGTGCAGCTAACGCTCTGGGGAGGAGAAACGAGCGCAGCTAACGCGGTGGGGAGGAGAAACGATGTCTTGCGGCAGACCTTTGAAATCTTCTGACTCTTGGTGGACTCCTTGTTGGTGAAACGAGAGAGATAGGTGCTTTGAAATTATCAAGTAAGGAACTAGAGCAGCAACACCACCAGCAACAGCACCAGCACCAGCATCACCACCACCAGATTTACACACCTGAGGTCCTCGTCGAGCAAATCGTCGCTGAGCCAGGAAAGGAGAGGTACTAGATAGGAGAGCGTCTTTCCTGACCTGCAAAAATCTCACCTGAGCTCGTTCTTCCCCTCCCTCCCTTCCCCTCTCTCCCTTCCCCTCCCTCCCTTCCCCTCTCTCCCTTCCCCTCTCTCCCTACCTCTCCCTCCCTTTCCCCCCTTCCCTTCCCCCCTCTCCCTACCACTCCCTCCCTACCTCTCCCTCCCTTCCCCTACTTCCCTTCCCCTCCCTCCCTTCCTCCTCATCCTCCTGGTCATCACCCTGTAGGGGAGCGAATGACCGTGTCCCGAGATGAGAAGACGGCCTGTGATGAGATGAGGCATCAGAGCAGGAGGACAAGGAGCAGCAGCAGCAGCAGCAGAAGAAGAAGAAGAAGAAGAAGAAGAAGAAGAAGAAGAAGAAGAATAACAATAACAAGACAATGGATGGCTGGGACCTTCTGCGAGATTGCCTTCATCGCGTTGCGCTGAACCTGCAGATCAGTCAGCAAGGAGGCGGTTCGGGGGCAGGGCAGGTAGGAGGAGGCTGAACCTGCGTAGGGAGTCTGAACCCCATCCTCTCCAACCTGCGACTTCACGTGAGGAGGCCATGGGCAAGTTTCCTTCCTTACCGGTCAACCAGCCAGTCGGGGACCCCGAGAGCCTTCCAGTCTAGCGAGTGCTTCTTCCTGTCGTCCGCCTGCTCCCTGCCCTTCACCTCCTGCTCCTCCTCTCGTTCCTGCTCACCTGGAAGCCGGAGATGGCCGAGATCTGATCTCGTAGGAGCGACGCGCTGGTGTAGTCCTCCTGCCCCCTCCAACGGTCACCTTCTGCCCTCCTCCTTCCTCTTTCTCTCCTCTTCCTCCCTCCTCTCCTCCCCCCTCCTCTCCTCCTCACAGCTTCCACAGCGGCGTTCAGCGCGGTATGAAGCCTGGAGGCAAGAGAGTTTGAGAAATGCACACTCAAGAGACGAAAGAGGCTGGAGGGAGACCAGGGAGGAAGCAAAGGCAGGCAGGCAGGCAGGCAGGCAGGCATGTCAAAGGGGTGGATAGGAGACGGTGAGAGGAAGGCGGGAGGAGGAGACCTGTTGAGATCCTCTTCCCATTTGTCTGCTGTCTGGTCGAATTCTACGAGCACGTCAGGGGGTCAAGAAGAAGTAGCTGAAGTCAAGTACTTGTTCCCAGCTCCTTCCAGTTGATCTGCACAGTCGTTATCCTCTCGTTCCTCCCTCTTCTCCTCCTCTTCTCACCGAGCATGAAAGTCGCACAGCAGAACTTTTGGCTGCTGCCGGTCGGCTTGATAGCTCTCCTGCAAGCTCACATCAGATAAAAAGACAAGGAAGCATGGCGCAGAAGTGTCAGCAAGCGGAGGAGAAAAGGAGGAGGAGAGGGAGGAGGAGGAACAGAAGCAGCAGCGGCAGCAGCAGCAGCAGCAGCAGCAGCAGCAGCAGCAGAGCTGCTGGAGTTTCACCTTTGAGCATCGGAACCCTGTGCCATGATGGGTGAAAGCAACGTCTCGCTCTACCGTAAGCGTCTCAGGACAAACAGAGATGGAATGAGAGGAACAAAAGAACGAGAGAGAATGGTGAAGAGGAAAGGAGAGAGAAGGAGAGGAGGAGATGAGAGGAAGACAGGGGACGGGTCGACTCAGGAAAGGAGACAGCATTAAGGAGAAGAGGGGCGAGGTCAAGATATACCCGGTGAGGAAGCTGGATGTAAGAAAGGCTGCACAACAACTCAGCTACGGAGACAGCAGGTCTCACGATTTCTGACCTTCCACGGGCGAGATGGTCTTGATCATAGCGAGGCAAGCAATGCCTGGTCCACGGCAGTCAAGCTTACGCGCGTGAGGGCAGCAGGGCTCACCGAGGACGACCTCTTGCATTCTCACCATCCTTCCTCTGTCTTCCTTCCTCTACAATCATGTCAGCGTATCAGAGCACGAGAAACCCGCAAGGTCTCCCCTCCAGACGCTCATACTCCCTCCCCTCTTTCCATCGTCATCACCATCATCCCCCCTTACAAACTTGTCTTGTCGCGCATCAACTTGCTCATCATGCTCTTCTATGTTCTACCCTGTCTCCTTGCCTCCCTCCCCGGCCTGTCCTCCCTCTTCTCCTGCTCTCCCCCTCCTCCCCCCCCCCCTCCATCCCTCCCTTCCGTCGGCCTCCACCATGAAAGTGCTCTAGATCTGCTCTAGATGGGATGGGTATGATTGGGGAGGTGGTCCAGAATCCATGGCAGCGCTCTTGATTCTTATGGCGATGATGGGGCTGGCGGCCGGGCTAGAGCCCAGCAGCGGGTCAGGGAGCGTGTGCAGGAACACAGTACAAGGACCGAAGCATGTGGTGGATGATCAGGTTGCTGCCCTCCTCTCCTCCCTCCCTTTCACTCTCCTCCACGAAGCGACGACGACGACGACGATGATGGCGCCTGCCCTCTTGACCTCGCCTCCCCTTCCCTGTCTTCGCGTCTCTCCTCTTGCTTCCTAGCACTGACGGGCTCTTGCCCAGGGCTACTTCTGCTCGGTCGACCAGGTTTGTCCTCTCATCAGTCTTCCTACAACGTGTAAAGAGGCTCCCCAGGTAGACTATCAGACCGGATGCTGCGATACCAAGAAAGTAACCGAACCTCGCTGGAGCTGCCGCAGCTGCGAGGCAGAGACGAAGGTGTCGCCATGTTCCCCCCGCTCCCCTGTGCCTGAACTTTACAGTGCTGCGACCACTACGAAAACTGCGTCTCCTGCTGCCTGAACCCCTCCAACGACGAGCTTCGCAACACCGCCATGGCTGCCAGCAGGTTTACCTCGATCTTTGCAGGGTGTGCGATGTGGTGAAGGACTGACACCAGGGACAAGAAGACCTTCGCCGACGCCGTCAAGCGCAAGGACTCGTTCGAGTTCTGTAGGGCGAGCTGCAGGACTTCGAGCAAGAGCACGGTACACGGCAATGCGTACATCAGCGAGAAGCGATTCTGCCTCTCTCCTTCCATCTTGAGCAACACGCTCCCTGCAGACGTTGCGGTCTCCCTCCTGATGCTCGTTCCGCTAGTGAAACCTCCTCAGGTCACCGTGGGGAAGCAAGGAGAGTCTTGCGCGGAGGTTTGCTCCAGTGTTGGCAAGCGATGCGACACAAGGTATGAGGTGCTGAGGTGAAGGACCAGAGCCTTGTAAGAGATGCTTCAGGTACATAACCAGCATCAACACGTGCGAGGTCCTCCAGAAGAACTTCCCGTATGAGCTGTCCTGACAACTTCCCACCTGACTGGGTTCGCGTCTCAGATGCAAGAACACCTGCGAGAAGAACTACGGCCACGACCAGCCAGCATACGTCTCAGCACAATCCAACACAGAGATGTTCGGTGTGCGATGAGCGATACGGCAGGAGCACGGCTGACATGTTCTGCAGGCAAGTGTTTGATCAACGAGAAAGAGTCCTACTTCTCATGTACAGGTGCAAGCTGTGATGGTCTAGTCAGCATGGCCGCTGAGCTCCGTTCTTCAGGCTGGCATCCGGACACTACTAGGATCTGTCCCTGCCGTGTTGCCCCCCAGGAGCAGTCCGTGGTTACCTAGGCCAACTTGAGTCTCCTGAGCTGATAAGCGCAAGTGGCCGCCAGCGCCAGGCAAGAGGCAGCGGATAGAGGATGTCGAAGGATCCAGGACGTGGTCTGCTGGAACCAAGACCCCTCCGTCGCGAGCACGGTCCCCTCCTGACCAGCTGCCTTGTCTGCTGCTCCTCCACTCACGGCTGGACTGGCCTGCTCCCCGCCGGACTTCTCCTGCGCCATAGAGGCCGTCAGGGCATGTCCGATGAGTTGAGAGGATGTAACCTTAGGGGGTCGCTCTCCGAAGATGGTCGAACCGACTCTCACGTTATTGCTGCCCATGCGGATGGCAAGCTCGTAGTCTCCGCTCTTGTGTTGAGAGTGTCAAGAAAGTCTTTCCATGTTCAGTGAGAGTCGTGTTCTCACCATCCCCATGCTCAGAAGGAGAGAAGACTCCTCGACTCCGAGCTCCTTGGCGATCATGCTACGGCACCTGCACCCAGGGGGATGAGAAGGTCGCAGGGGGCGGAGGGCTGGGAATACTCGACAAGCTTCTTGAAGTAAGGCTCCGGGTTCGGGTCTCCCAGCTTCCCGATCGTCATCAGTCCGGCAAGTTTCAGGCGCTTGCAGTTGTTCACGATGTGGCTAGCGATCGCTGCTGCTTCCTCTGCCTCGCATCCTGACTTCGACTCCTCTTTGCTGGTGTTGACCTGAAGCATCACCTGCAGCAAGTCTCTCTTCACTGCATCACAAGCTTTGTCCAGCTGGTTTGCGAGCTTCGAGCTATCCACACTCTCCACCATGAAGAGGTTTGGAACACCTTGCACGAGCATCTTGGCCTTGTTCGACTGCAAGTGGCCAATGAAATGCCATTTGATGTCCGAAGGGAGCTGTGACAAACTCAGTTCAAGTCTAGCGGTTTCAAGGGAGAGAGAGGACAGAGGAGTATCCATGTCTACTCTTTTCACTCATCTATCTTGGGCTCTCTTCCTCGCATGACCTCAGCGCTCGTCTCGTGTCTTTCTCCTTACCTGCGGAGCCTTCTCGCAAATCTCCTGGACATAGTTTTCACCAAAGTGTCGCTGGTCGGCCTCGTAGGCCTCCATGATGGCCTCGTTGGGCATCAGCTTGCTCACAGCAACAAGTCGCGCCATCTCCTTGTTCAGCTCCCGAGCAAGCGCCTCGATCTTGCCTCGCACCTCCTGCAACCTGCCCCCGACCTGTCGCGCCATTCCTTATATGCTATTGCAAACCACATCCCCGCTCACGCACCAGGCCCGGGGCGGCTGCCGGGGCGGGCTGCAGGGCGGGCCGCTCAGCGGCTGGCACTAGTACAGTTGTCAACTGAGTGCAGTTGTCAAGTACAGTTGTCAAGTACCACTTTCATGACTGGCGGGCGACTTCGAACTTTAACCAGAGGAAATCTCTAACGTGGCTTGATTTCTAGCCCTCCCAGGCTTTCACTCTCCTCCACGACGCGACCTAAAGAAGAAAGAGACCTCAGAAGCCGCAGTGTTAGCACTTTAGACCGTGTACTTCCCGTACTCGCGCACCTCTTTAGACTGGGATTGTTATGTGAGAGCCGATAAGCGGCTCAAACAACATTCTAGCATTCTAATAAACTCACATAATAATAATAACAATAATAATATTTCTAGGGTTTATTTCTAGGGTTTATTTCTAGGGCTTATTTCTAGGGCTTATTTCTAGGGCTTACTTCTAGGGTTTATTTCTAGGGTTTATTTCTAGGGTTTACTTCTAGGGTTTATTTCTAGGGTTTATCTCTAGGGTTTATTTCTAGGGTTTATTTCTAGGTTTCATTTCTAGGACAGTTTATTTCTAGGGCTTACTTCTAGGGCTTATTTCTAGGTTTCATTTCTAGGGTTTATTTCTAGGGCTTACTTCTAGGGTTATTTCTAGGGTTTATTTCTAGGGTTTATTTCTAGGACAGTTTATTTCTAGGGCTTACTTCTAGGGTTTATTTCTAGGGTTTATTTCTAGGGTTTACTTCTAGGGTTTATTTCTAGGGTTTATTTCTAGGGTTTATTTGTAGTTTTCATTTCTAGGGTTTACTTCTAGGGTTTACTTCTAGGGTTTATTTCTAGGGTTTACTTCTAGGGCTTATTTCTAGGGTTTATTTCTAGGGTTTATTTCTAGGGTTTATTTCTAGGGTTTACTTCTAGGGTTTATTTCTAGGGCTTATTTCTAGGTTTCATTTCTAGGGTTTATTTCTAGGGCTTACTTCTAGGGTTTATTTCTAGGGTTTATTTCTAGGGTTTATTTCTAGGGTTTATTTCTAGGGTTTACTTCTAGGGTTTATTTCTAGGTTTCATTTCTAGGACAGTTTATTTCTAGGGCTTACTTCTAGGGTTTATTTCTAGGGTTTATTTCTAGGGTTTACTTCTAGGGTTTATTTCTAGGGTGACTTCTCTTCTCCTTCCAGCAGCTTCCGCAAGGCCTCCGCCCTCGACCGAGCCTCAGTCATCAGAGCTCGCAGCCCCTCGCAGCTCGCGCACTCCTTTTCGTTGGCTGCTGCCTCCTCCAAGCTCCTGCCAGCATCGTCAGCCTGCTGCGGAACACACACGACTAGACTCACCTTCGAGCCTCCTTCAGCTCCGCCGTCAACTCCTCGATCCTCCTCGTGGCCGCATGCACTTCCTGCCGCATGGCGATCATGGTGTCCCCTCCCTCGAACGCGTCCTGCAGGAAGCTGCGAAGCAGGTCGTCAGAGTCCAGCCATCGCGCAGAAGGGCCGGAGCCACCTGATCAGAGCCTCGAGCTTCACTTCCCCGTCGTAGATCACTCCCCTCTCCCTCCCCTCCCTGTACACGCAGATTCGAGGGAGGTCCTGCTCCTGCAGCCGAAAGGAGGACATCAGCTCTGTCTCCACGTGCTTAACGACGCCGAAGGAGGTGGTCTGCTGCTGGGCCTCCGCCAGCTGCTTCCAGAGAGGGGGGATCTCCGACTTGGTCGTGAAGAGGATGGCTTTGAGAGGACGGAACTTGGAGCTGAAGAAATCGTCGATGTTCTCGCTGTTGAGGAGGAGCACAACAGCCGCTTGGATCTGCTCCAGGTTCTTGATCTGCAGCACGAGGCTCTCCCGCTCCCGTCTCAGCTCCCCTCCCTCGCTCTCGAGCTTCTTCTTCGCCTCCTGCAGTTCGTGCACCAGCTTGTCCTCCCGTACCCTCGACTCCTCCAGCTCCGCCTCCAGCTGCTTCTTCGCTGCTTCTATCTGACCCATCTGGGCAACCCTCAACCGGGCAACCTCCGCCTGCGCAGCCTTGAGCGCCTCCCTCGCCTCCTGCAGCTCAGCCCTCAGCGATCCGATCTCGGCCCCCTGCGCATCGACTCTCCTCCTCAACTCCAGCGCTCTCTTGCCTCCATGCACGGAAGTGGACAGGAACTCGAGGATGTGCTCGAAGTCTGACGGGCCCTCGTAGGTCACGACCGTCTCCTTCTCAGGCTGCTTCGGGCACACCACGACGATCTGAGGGAGCGAGTTCTCGTCGATGTGAAAGCGGGAGAGCAGCGAGGCTTCATCATCCTTCACCTCCCCGAACGCGACTTCCTCCCCCAGCGCCTCCGCCAGTCTGATCCACAGCCCGGGAGTCTCCTTCTTCCTCGTGAAGAGGATGGCCTTTACCCGTTCGCCCTGCAGCATCAGAAGCACGGTTCAGACAACTTAGTAGAGCACAGCACATCCCTTCATCTCGCCTCTGCAAGGATGAGAGCTCGACCTCTCCTGATCCATCCTCCTCTCTTCCAGTCTCCTCCTCCTTCAACACGGTGCAGACAGCACTTTCACCCACATACACCATCCCTTGCTATCTTCTCACCGTCACGATCTCACAGCCTCCTCTCTTCACATTCACGGGCTAGCACCTCAAGTTTGACCTCCTTTCCTCCTCCTAACCCTTCCATGAAGCTTTCCCCCCTTGCCCTGCCCAGTCGTGTCTCCTCCCTGTTCCTTCCCTGCTCTGCTCTCCCATTATCCCTCCCCTCTTTCCACTTGCATCATCTCTTATCTCCACGTTTCCTCTTTGAACATGTTCATCTCGCTGTCTTGTTCTGCTCCTTCTCCTTCTTCCTCTCCTCCTCCTCCTCCTCCTCCTCCTCCT